ATATTATCTTATTTATTTTGTTGTTGGCAACGCCATATTATATGAAAACTCTTCTGATTATTATGTAATTTTATTAATTTCGTTATTCTATTTTGCATATAATTGTATGATAAATAAATTTGTGGGGGTACATGGCAAGCAATTCGGATAAATATCTCAATGAGGTGGCATGCGATTTGGACGCACCCTTCACAGAATCTACTATAGATAACAATTTGTGTATTTATTGCAATTATAAACTATGAAATCATTTTTGATGTTTATTTTAAATCTTATCATATTGATTAAATATTATTTATTAATAAATTAATTATTACTCGTTACTTATATAATATATAATAATTATAAAAAAAAAACATATTTTATTGCGAATAATTAAAATTAAAATGTACAACTGAAACTAAATTTTTACACTTTCGTTTTAACATGTTATGATAATTTTGTAAGATTTTGTTTTTTTGTATTTCAATTAATTTATTTATTTTATTGACCCATTTATTGTACTTATAATATTTAATTTTTTTTTTTTTTATTTGGTTAGGTTAAAAAATGGCATAACGCAAAAGCGGTAGTTCACACTTGTAAATGTAAATAATTCCCTTAGTTCTGTGAATTTTTAATTCTTATTATTTACAAAACAATTTTTTTTATAAAAGTATTAGTTGCTAAAAATAGACAGAAAAACAATATTTTAATCAAATAAAACCACCGCGGTATCTGCATTTGACATGGCCTTGACTCGATTTATTATTATTTTGATTTATTTTGTCAGTAAGTTATGTTTCTAAATTAAAACAGAGGATATCGTTTTATATTTATTATAAAGTATAAGAACACTTTAATAAACTCTCGTACAAATAAAATACCGCAAATAAAATAAGCGCCTACACTATGTCTGTGTTTACGGTTTTAAATAAATAATAACGTTTTCATTTGATGTATATCAACCAAGTATTTAATATTATATACTTAAAAATCAGCAGACTGAATTTAAACCAATATTTTGCATACAACTCAAAATAGATGAATTATGACATTACGAATTGTATCAAAACTCAACAAACACAAAACAATATTGTGCAAAGTTTTTCTCCATTATGTTTTTTATTATTTTTTAACGATTAGTTATTATAGCTATTGTACATATGTAGTTATCAAGCCAATTTTCAAAATCCAAAAGCAAACGCAATTAACCCAAAGATATAGTCGGCGGATTTTCCTTTTGTCACGTATAAACGTATTTCAAATAGAAAAAAAAATGATTGCATAATATAATAAAAAAAAATAAAAAAAAAAATGATATGAATAAAAAAAAAACAAACAAACAAACAAAACGTTTTGCGCATCATAATTTATTATTATCTAAAAATTAAACTGTTTGCGTGACGGATAGCTTCGACATTTTTTACAAACCACGCGATCGCGTTTGATCCGTAAAACAATCAGATTAACGCGTCGACGTGATTATTGAACAGAAACTATTATTTAAACGTCCAACACACATAATATAATAATTCACGAGTAGACGATATTACAGTATTCAAAGGTGCGAGTAAAGTTTGGAGGACTATGTGAGCGAAATCCACAGATTATATTATTATAATATAACCTCATAAATGCACTTTTCGTGCTTTTACAATTAGATGACATTATCTAGATAAAATACTTATACCACATCTGTGTATACAGAAAGGTAAATAATATAATTTCATTTCTAATAGTGCCAATATATGTATTAGTGGCCTATGACTTTTTTAGAACTAAGATTATACAAAATTATACGTATCACATCAGGTGTACATCTAAAGTCTGGCTTCTCTGTACTTTTTGATTACTACATCAGCCCGTGAATATTATTTGGTAATGACGACGAAGATATTAATAATAATAATAATAATAATAATAATACATAATACATAATGATAATAATAATAATAACAACAACAGTACAAATAATGCAGAGGTATGCGATAATAAGACGGGATCTTAAATTATATTATTAAGGCTTGAGTTCCGCTGTCAGTCTCACCCCTCGCTTACAACATCTGCGGCCGCCGTCGGTTGTCGTTGTTTTCGGGGTTGATCAGCAGGCACGCTCAACTCAGACCACATCCGGATAGAAGTCCGTGTCCTGAAACACTGTCTGCGGTTCACCCGTCAGCCTGTCCACGGACGACGCTAGACACCTGTAAAGGCCCTTGTCCAGTGGCGTTACGTCATGGAAATGCAGAGTGCTGCCTTTAGGCCTCAGGTGCATGTCGTATGTCTGCACCTCACCCATTCGCCTCATAGCCATCTCCTTGTCCGCTTTTCCCGGGTCCACTCGTTCCCACACGATGTTCTGCAAACCGACAAAATTACACACCGTAAACCACGATACCATATTATTTTAATGACTAGAAAAACTTAACGGGTTGGTGGTGCGCGATCACGCCATAACCAGTATTAAAAAGCAACCCCTGTCAGATGACTTGTTTTTAAATGATTTCGGTATGTGACATTTTACAATACGAGACTTGAAAAAATCTACGAGATTACAAAGAACATATTCCAGCAACGAATACGTAAAGTTACGATGTTATCTCAACAGTGATGTGAACTGTGATTAAAGATACATAAATAACATATATAATTTAGTAAGTATATATTTATAAAACAATTTTAAACAAACACGACAATATAACACAAACCTAAATAAATTAATAATCATAAGACATAATATTATGTTAAAATTCAAAGAGACTATAGGCCTGTAAGATATTTTAACTTTTTTAATAATATTTTATTATGTTAATGGACACAAGTTGGGATAATGTGGTTTTAATACCAGGCTCATTCTACATGTAACAAATTCGAAGGATGCATCCTGCTGAGATAAATATATGTATGGTAAGTTATCCAACTGTAGACCATATTATATGGATACTTAGAGATAATACATAGTAAGGATAAGCATTTTAGCCTAGAAGAGCTGGTCTATAGACTAACAAGATTTTGTTAGACGCGGTATCACAGCTGAGGTTGAAGAAACACCTCTCAATCCACCACTACATTGTTTTACACTTATTTTTTTTTATTTTGCATTTAATCAAATTTCAATAAACGTTAGCACTTAGAAAATATTCACCGAACTGTAATGAAGCTTCTCTAACTCTATCTTTCGCCCTGTATCACATTGAAGTTCGTAACAATAGTACAAACCCCTGTACGGGAATATGGAGATGATAGGAGTATCTATTATTTTCTCAGAGAGGTCCAACATACGACCTCTAGACTTCTCAACATGATGATTCTAACCAAGTATAGAAAATAGGCGATGCAACAACGACAACTTTACAAACTCAAACCGGAGTAATGACAATATTTTCGTACAAACTCGTAAAATTATTTTATATATTCATGTGAAAATCCAAAAAATAAACTTGTGTTATACGAACTAGCATGGTTTCACAAAATCATTAGATTGCCGTTTTAAATAATAAATCGTACTATTACAACTGCGGCGAACACAATATTATCAAATGATGACAAGCAATAGAAACACGTGCGTCGTCGGAACTTTTGAATCTGATCGAACTCCGAGTAGAAAATTACAGTTCGTTGTACGGGTTGTAAACATAATTAATGATATCATTTTTTTTAGCACACCCAACTACACTCGAAATCACGTTATTTGGCAACGCGCTTATCTGTTTGGTAACGTAAGGCCGTTAGCGAGTAAAAACACAGCACCGCAACAATCGCAAAAAAGTTCTGAACGCGACAATAACAGTATTGTGTACATTAAATGAGTAAAACTGTCTCCGTGAGTACATTCACGATAATCATCTTATCTGAAAGGTGAACGTTGACTACGACGCGCCAGAACACTTTCTCGTAAACTGTTGCGAATACAGCCACATTTATAATATATAATAATAGAATAAACAGCTATAATATTTTAACCGAGTGTTGATATATTATTAACGTACAACAAACATTATTTTTAAAGCTATTTAGGTTTTTGAAACATAATTAGTTTTTTATTTATTACTGAGCACGACTTATAATTAAAAACCAATACTAAATGACATTATTGAAAGAAAAAAATGTATCTTTAATATTGTTTATCTAGTTATAACGTTTACAAATGACAAATTGACAACATACACTATTAGTTTTGTATCCCGAATTAAAATATTATTTTCTAAACGTTTCGATACCGGTTCAAACAGTTTATTAACTATGTAGTTATAAAAGTATACCTATTAAAAGTTGGATAATCAGAGTGAAGAAGCCAAAGGTACATAACAAAATATTGGCCTACTACTGATAAAAAATTTATATGTATTGCTAATTAACTATTAACGCAAAATTCGAAATAATCCAAAGAATGCTTCGTTTAAGAATATAATTTACAATGTATGATTTTATTAAAAAAAATTAAAAAAAAATTAAAAAAAATCTATTAAATTATTTCAATTGATGATTGAGATATTTAATCAAAATACTATTTCCTTAAAACATTAATACATTTTTAAAAAGTGAGTTGTATATTAACACAATCAACCGATGTTCTATTTGCATAATAATGTTGTGCACCAGCACCACAGCCCGATCTATAACTATGTCGCTTTCAAACATAAATGGTTCAATAAATTGTTTAAAACAACGTTTTTTTTCTTCACATTATATTTAGAGTTAAATGTGCAATTTTTTTTAAGATCGCTTTTTTCTTTCTTAATTTATAAGTTGATACTATGTTGATTCGCATTCATGGCCGTGAAACGTTCTGACGATTTTGTCATATAAAAACCTATATAGTACAAAAGTATATTATTATAAGTGTATAATATCATATTTTACGTATAAAATTGTCATGCACAAAATCAAGCGTGCAAGATACACATATTAATACTATTGACATAATTATAGTTGCGAATAATTACTTTAGAAAGGCCCTACAGCTACAATAGGGGGTTACCTTCAATCCTAAAAAACTTATAAAAACTGATTTTTAGATATATAGGAAATTAGTATTCTCAGTAAATCCTTTTAAATTGAAACTCATCAGTCATCGTGCAACAATTTTTCTAAACACATTTAAGTAAGCATTCATCAAACATAAACTCAGTCAACTATACTTTACTCGAATGCCTATCATCTCCCCTGAAAACAAAAACAAAAAGGATTTCAATAAAATCTCCTGCTACTCGCATCACCACCTCCGTTTACACAAACAATAAAGTAACAAAAAAAGTTCGTATAAACCTCAATATTGATTCTTCACCAAATATCATTGAAAATTCGTTTTAGTAAATAATGTATAAGATATTTCGTGAGAAACAAAAATTGTATATTCTTGTACTTTGTGATTCAATATTTTGTGAAACCTAAACTTATGACCATATTTTACAATTACAGTTTTATTTTATTCGCTAGCCATTATTTCAATTTTTCAAGATTTAAGAAAACACAACTGTAAAACTGTATAACTATAAGAGTGTAAGACACAATATAATCGATATAATTAATATAATCATAAGTCAGCGCACAAAATGTCACTAAAAATATTATAATGGAATAGCCCACATACCGTATGTTTGTCTGTGTGTAATCACTAATCATCATAAAAATCGTTATTTGGTATGTAATGCATAATTCGTAAATACGTAATTTAATTAGATTTAATTAAAAGTACAACGTTGTGGTATCTCATTTTCGGAGAAAAGTGACTATGGCCAATGTAATGAAATCCAGGGAGTTTCCCGAGTGCGTCCCAAAACGACCTTTCTTTAATGATCCGAGTGCGTCTGAAATAAAGTATCATCCTAGTGCGTTCCAAGAAAAAAATTTATATTTTTGACATAACCCTAGTGCGTCCCAGCTCATTTAGAATTACCCGGGATACACCACAAGGAGGTGAACTGGCTTACACCTTAAAAATATTTTTTGTTTATTATTTATGCAATAATATCTTTTATTTTAACTTACACCCACGAATTTAGGTAAGCAAACTAATTATTTTAAATGTTTTTTTATTTTTTTTTTTTAAGAAAAATTGTAATATTTATTTTTAGCATATCTTTATTGGCTGGTATTTAAATGCAATTATTTTGACGTAATTTAGTCTTGATATTTTATAATTTTGAAATTGATTCAAATTTTCTTCGATGTATACAATCTTCTTGAACGTGAACCGAGTACGAACTCGGGCTATATTCGATATAATTTTTTGATATGATTGCGGAAGCACTCGATCTATTCAATATAATTTTTTAATAAGATTGCGGACGCACTCAGCCTAGAAAAAAAGTAAAAATTAAAAACTGGACGCACTCGGGATATGCTCGAAATCCGAGGTAAGAATAGCTGGCCACAAACACACACTATCGCCGTCATAATTATTTACTTGTAATGTTTGTTTGCCTATATCTGGAGCATTATGCGTTTGAACGAATTGCCTTTTTACCCGCATAACAAAAGTAACGTGTTTGGTTGAATTCCTTATAGTGCGATTGAACAAGTATAATACGTCCATACATTTTAACGTTCGTCTCCTGTGAATCTATCTCACTGGCACGATGCCACCGCTGACCGACTTACGGATTATGCTTTCATACCTACGACCATCAGCAATGACGTTAATACTCACCACAATAAAAAAAAAAAAAAAAAATGATAGTATACAAATTGAAAAATTGAGATATGGTTGTACGTATAATATCTACATTTCATCAAAAAACAGTTCGTTTTTAATCATAGACAAGGAAGTTACGGATAGTTCCAAGTCTGTCAAAATGAGAGAAAAAATGGATTTATAAGATACTGCCTAGTGTCTAAACACTTAACAAGATAATATTAAAAAAAAGGTCACCCAAACACATTATATTTTAAAATCAGTAGCCCAAACCCATTATGTAAAATTTACCATATACATAGCAGTTTTTACAAATTCACTTAAATGCAAACCATCCATGTATCGATGTACTGCTATATGGTCCAGGCTTGAAAAACTAGATAAATAAGTAAATTTATAGTTGAGATTCAACTTACAACTGCTTTCAAACTGTACAAAAATATTCTCGAACCCATTTTACCTAGCCCCATAAAACTGAATATTGATATTACACGTGACTACGTGAGCACTGCCATATTCGATACGAGATGCGCTGGCCATATTCACGTCGATGTCATGAAACGGTTTTCAAAAATCCACTCTTTTAGACTGCCTTATCAAACTTTATTATTAATGTATAACGGTTTAAAATAAAGTAAATCTTAAACCGTGATTAATATGATATAATATGCCATAATATCATTAGACACATAATGTTATGTTATTTACCTATTCGGTTGTCTGTTTCAACTAGCGTTAATTATTCTATCAAACCCAAACTTACGGATATCACCGGCACAGTACTCGGAAATTCACAATTGATCTCGGCTCCCGTCGGCGGTACTAGTTTCCACCATCCACTACCGATTCGCAGCCTTCGTTTCTTGCTCTCCGTCGCAGACGCAGTGTCTATTCGGTTGTAAAATCCCCATCTGTAAAAATTCCCTGTGAATTATTTATTTATTATATACTTCTTTTGTTTCCCTATTAATTTATAAATATTGTAAGCAAAATTATTTCCATTCCACTTATACTCAGGTATCTACTGATATGAAAAGTAAATATATATTTTTAAAATGATTTGACAAATTCAATTTTCCATTCAATCTAACCTTACCTTTTATTCTAAAAATTAAAAAATAAATACATCAAGTTCGGTAGAAAAACTTAATATAAAATACTATTTAAATTATTTTAAAACTAAAAAACTACAAACAAACTTTTTAAAACATAATATTTAAAAAGAGAATCGAATTTGTTCATTTATATTTTACATTCATATTCTAAACTATTTATTATATTTTTTTGCCAATTAAAAGTTTTATGTATAAATCTGAAACTGTAGTAAAATTAGTGAAATTATAATCTGATACAAACATTAATTAAAACTAGGTTCCTCTAAGTTTATCATTTGATATTATTTATAGTTCAATTATTATTAGCAATATTTTATATCCAGAACTTCAGTTTACAAAATTGATTTTAAAATTAAGTGCAATTAAACTGATTTTCTATTTCTCCATATAAAAAGTAAATAATGAGATTAAATTATTTGTTTAATTATTTTACTTAACCTCGATTTTTACATAGAATGTTATTAGATTCACAATACAACCGTGTTTTAATTTGCCAGCCATTTATATAAATAAGAATGTTAATTTTAACATTTTAATTAATATAAATCTAGGTAGAATATAAACATTTTATGTATAATTATTATTAATATTCATATTTGATATTTCTACATTGATCATAATTCGTTATTGAACAAATATAATTAGATTTTTGGTTTCATTATTTATATATTTTTACACAATTATATGATTATAACCATTATTATTATTATATCCTCATGTTGTTAATCAAAATAATTGCATTTGAAACGCCATTGTTTTTAGTTCCCACCGTTTCCACTTCAATTTTTGTCAACTTAATAATATAATATACAATTTTTAAAATAACAAAACTGTCCTAAGCATTCAACGATATATACATTTGTCAAAAAAAAAAAAAAAAAACAAATATGCATATTTTTTGAAATATCAGCAACGAATTTAACCAAATACCAAGTAAATGTGTATACATAATATAATTAAGCAGTCTTCTAAGAATACTAATGTATTCAAACATAATACATATTTATTAGGTAAGTAATCGTTTAGTTATGCAGAGTTCATAATCGTTTAAGACCTATAAAATATAATATTATTTTTTAAATGCGCAAAAATAAAATTAAACATTGTTCAAACATTGTGTATCAGTCGAACCTCATAGTAAATTTTGAATAAAGCAGTTAACGCATTTCAATAATACAAATACTCGGAATATAATACTACATATTATATTATTTTTCTAGTTATTAAGCTATTGACGTTGTCTTTTACAATATTATGTTTTACAACTCGCCGATGTTCGTATTTGACTAGTGTTCTGCGCGTCTCGTCCTAAAAACATGCATTTTAATAACATGTTATACGTTTGATGTTTGTTTCATCGCAAAATGATATTAAATTACAATTGCAATATCAAAGTACGACGATTACGCACTGTATGACCCAATTAAGTGTAAAATATCATGCGATATATTTTAAAGATAACCTGCAGTTACGCTTTTTTAAGCAGTTTATTTTTATTTTTGAATGTAATTAGTTGAATTTGGATTTTGTAGTCATTTAATTGTTTTATCTAATAGTGAACAACAAAACTAAACCAGTTAAATTTCATTCGTTTCACAAACAATAAAATAGTAGATAATTTTTTTTTTCTTTCTAATTTTTTTTTAATATTTAATTACTTAACATATATTTAAAACATTCAAGAGGCCAATAATTGTGTTAATATATTATAATATTTTTTACAAAATTAGTTCAATAGATTTTATCTCGTAATTCATAATATTATTATTATTGTATTATAATACTTGTATATGTGATTTATTTTTGGCAAAAATTAGTTAATAAAACCACTACAGTAATACTAATAATGATTAAGCTCAGCCTAACTTTTTACTGTTAAAATAAAATTTTAACTTTAAAAACTTAAAAAAAAACTTTAAAACTTAACTTATTACTGTTATAAATATGTAGTTGTAGAAATATATTATGATAAAATAAATGTCCTTAGAAAGAAAAAAAACGCCAACAGTCCATCTTCGCTTGGAATAACTATACTATTAATTTAATAATTATTTATCCTGAGTTCGAATTATACACACCCATTATAGTCAACGACAAAGTACTTCAACATCTATAACTTGTACAACATATCGAATTTTCCAGTATTCTTAAAATAATTTTAAATATTTTTAAAACTGTTTTAGATTTTTATATATCTACATAAAATGTACTCTTGCTATTTCCACTATAAAAGAGATCACACATTTATTTTACAAGTTGGATATTTTAGATTCATTACTTATGCGAATTTCCTTATTTACATAAAAGATTTTAATGTTAAACTACAGTTAAACTATTACACACATATTATAATACAATATATGTTAAAATGTCTTTATCATACAGCATGAAAAACTTCAAATACACGCGGATTGCTAAGAATGGGTAAAATTGCATACTATTCAAAAATATGTAACGAGTATGTGTGCATTTGATATGAATGTATTCTATACTTCTGTAACGAATTTGTATAAAACTAGGTTTTCAATAGATATGCAAAATCGTTCAATACCGAACCCTAGTTTGGTTATTTACAGACCAAACTATAAAATTATTAAAATGATACGGGGGCATATTCGATTAGGTACACTTAAACACAGCAGCATATAACTTTACTATGAGTCAACAAATCGTAATACTAATTATAAAATTAATTACTCTAATATCAATATTATAAAATATACTTATTGATATTGGCCAATAGATTGTCTCCAATTACAACCATTTTTCGTATATATGATGTATTACTGAATTTAAATTTAACTTATCCATCACAGTGATCCTCTCGAAATCAACCATGCAGCATAACAGCACCCATTTGCCCACCTTTTTATCTTCTTTTCTTTTCCTAGATTATTTTTTAAAAATACTGATCATTTTTTACTTTTCATCCCTAAACTCTAAAGTATCAACTAGATCCAATTTACTACCAGAATTAACTTCCAAAATTAAAGTTTAAACTAACCATTTTTACTGCTCCTAAAGGTGATGACAGACAAAAATACCATATCATTGTAAAATCGATACATTCATCGTTCCGAATCTAAATGTGAGCATGCTCGGTGAATTACCCTATTTATATTGCATGATATATTGCTACGGATGCATGCTTATTCCTCGCCAAGGTTGTGTGTTGAGTACGGGTTTTTTTTTACTGAACTTTACCGAAATTACGTAGCCACCAAACACGCTACACAAAAAATTATTGACTTTGGAAAAAAATAACATGCGTAAACTTACAAGTGATGCGAAATCGTTTAGAGGGATGCCGAGTGCCGACGAGCGTGTTGCACAGGCGTAACGTCCTGAAAACACGTACCCATTTCAATTCAATATGTTATAACTTTTTAACCTGTACAGTGTACACATATAGGTAGATTAACCGGGGCGTTAAATAAATAATATATCCAAACCCAATTGAAAATGGAAAACAAAAGTCCACAACTGCTATAAGAATCGTTGGAAACCTCTACAATCATCATGTCTTGGGACGTTTTCACAAGTAAAATATGTGTTTTGATGAGGTTGGTTTTTTTATTATTAATATTATAATTATTTATCCGACGTTAATTTCCTAGAATGTTGAATTTTATTAGTATCCTTTTACGATTTTTACTAAATCACTTTTTTATAATCATAAATAAATCCTCGAAGCCACAAATATTTTAAATTACTAATCATATGATAAAATAACTCTTTTATTACAATTTTTCATTGATGAATTTTTTCAAATGTAATCATAAAATCTTAATTTATGCCGTTATAATGTAATAATTTATAAAAAAAATTAAAAATTAAATAACAATTTATAACATGTAAATTATTTAACATATTGTATAATATTACTATAGTTATATTTTCAAACCTAGAATAACTTATACCCTGATATTATTCTATGCTAATTTATGTTTCCAGCTGTGGTAAAAATCATTACTTGTTATATGGTATGCCTTTCTGGAAGTTCTCTCGCATCGAAGCCAGCTTTTCAAAATACCGTATACTGTAACTGAAACAAAAATAAACTGCATCAAATTTTATGTGATCATGATACTCAAAGTCTAAAATAAAGTGTCTAGTGAAGGTTTTATTACGATTCCTACTCAAACACGTACAATAATATATATATATATATCTGTGTATGAGTATGTTTGTGTTTGTGTACGTGTTTTACTATAATATACGTGAGAAAGTGATGTGCAGCGGTGTTTGTAAACGGTCAAAGGGCCGTAATATCTCGAGCCAAATTGTATAAATACGTTTTAAAAAGCTCTTTCTTTTTGATAAAGAAGTCCTACTTTTTTCCTTAAAGCTACAATTTTGTTTAACGACACTGCTTAATGGAAAAACTCCTTCGTATAAGTCACTAAACTTTATAAAAAAAAGTATAACAATATTAATCGAACAATAAATATTTTAATTAGATTTCGGAGAAAGTTTGATTTTCCATTGCTCATCATTTTTAATTATATTGTTATTTCATTAATTTAATTACGAGCATCTTGTTTATTTCTATTTTTGTTCCTTTTTTACATGAATGACGCACAGAATGCTTCGTTTTACAAATAATTTTATTGTTCTTGTATCACCAGACGCAACTACGTTAAATCACAATTAACAAGAATAAAATTCGAAAGTTGTACTTTTTAGTATTATACCATAGTCTATAATCAAGTACCGCTAGCTATTCCTAAAGACGATACTTCCAACAAACTTGCATCAAGGAATATTTTTGTTTACAACATTTTTGAGAATTCTTTAAAATTCCAAATTTGTTAAAAAATACATTTTTTCAATTATTTTATATGATTAAAATTGTTATGATAAATATTATACATGTATTTTTAAAACATCTATCCATCGAGGATAGACAGATTTTCGTCTTATTTAGTAGGTAATAAAAAATAGTAAGTACATATTATTTTTTTAAAATTATAAGGTATTGGTAATCATAGTCAATTGTATGATTTTTTTTTTAAATAAAATAAAATATTTACGCAGGTAAATTTGGCAAAAATGGGCTGTCGGAAAAATATACTTTTTTTTATTTTGGCGCAAACGGGCAGTGCCCAAGATGAATTAATTTTTTTTTGACGCAAATACGTAACCCCCCTTAATTATAAACTAACAGAGAAAAATGTATATTATATAAGAACCAAATTAGTTTTTATAACATAATAATATATAAATTATGTATATTGTACAATATGGAACAAAAGTATATATAATTAGTAGTGTGATCACACAATTAATCCAAATAAATATTTTTATACTCCATTAAAATATCTTAATTTGATTAAAATATAATACATTAGGTACTCCACTAGTTTGATTTATTTAATTTTTACAATCTCTAGTTTTAATGATTTACACAGAATTATAGAAATTAACAAATTCGATTTTCCTATTGCCTCGTGGTGTGTTCACTTAAAATATGAATAATTTCAATTTTATTATGGTTTATTAAATTATTAATTAACTAAGATAATTATATGTATATACTTTTCAATTATGTAACCAATAGGCTGTTTTGAATTATATTGTAATTAATGGAATCCTTATGTTGAAATTTAATATAAGGTATTTTTATATTTTCCAGCGATTAAAGTTTATTTTAAAATTTATATTTATCACAAAACTTATTATCCAATATTTAAGTAAAATGCACCAAAATTCAGTCTAACGTTTAATGAGTCAACAATAATTCATACCCTAAAAATATCTTTATGATTCATGTGAATTCTCGTGGTGTGTTCTTGGGAATTTCCCTTCATTACTATACAAATACACTCATACTACACACTACACAGTATTCATAGATTTAATATTATGATATATTTTATAATATAATGAACGAACTTTTGTAATAACACAAATATTATAATCTCTTTGTATTAAAGATATTAAAGTAGGTAACAATTTAATATTAACCGAGTTTGCAGTTTTGTTGCCCGTCAAGAGGGTTAGTAAATTTTATACATTATTGTACACTGGGATCCCCGAATTGTCCGGTATTATAATATTCTATTGGTCAGTCACTGTTTTATGCCTCTTGAAGTAAAACTGTTGAAGTACTTACGGGTTGGTCAAACACCTAGACGGGGAAAGAAGAAGGAAAAAAGGGGAACGTTATTTAAAATGCCCCACAATGCACTTTAAATACAATATATATGAACAAATACGTTCCGGAAAGAGTGAAGTACTTGTGCATGGTATTTTTAAAGTAGTTTTTTTTGTTTGAAACCAACTAATTGATGATGTGAATTACAAAATATTTAGGTTTTTATTCAGTACATAATTATTACATTTGAATAACACTAATTGTTAATTTATGTTCAAAGTATTTTAATGTTGATGGATATTGTCAGAAAATTTTAAATAATGAATTTAGACAATTGAAATGAAATCATTCGATGATTATTATCAACAAAAAACACCATTTAAGCATGCTAATACGGTGTGTTGGTATGACATGGTGGTATAGTACAGTTTAGAAATGTCAAATACGTGACACAAAAATCCTAACACAATTTAAAATTCATCGTTTAAATGTGTCAGAGCACGTAAAGCTGTCGTGTAGAGATTGACTCTTTCATTTTATTAAAAAAAAATAATAATAATAATAATAATAATAACAATAAAAAATCGTTTGAAACATTTTCAATGGATATTATGAAAAACGACCAATAACAATTAATATACTGACTACATAGTATATATTTATATATATATATATATATCTCCTTTTTTAAATCAAGTCGGTTTTTTTTTAAATTCAAAGTTCTAAAAGAAAGAAAAAACAACACTATTGTTTTTATGGTGAAGTGTTTCTATAATAGCTCGCACTTCTTCCGTACGCGACTGTGTCGTATATAAAATACATACAATATACCGCAAAAACAATACGTCTGCGAAACGTTTCTTTTATTTAAGAATTCTCTGGATGGCGTCTCAGAATGATTAAATTTTGTAAACTGTCTGTAGAATTAAATTTATTAGAATTTTGTTGAGTAGAATTCGCGCTAAAAATAATCCCGAATACATTTTACGGGTAATTAAAATATCTTAAACGCTGTACGTGTAATCGAACTTTATTTTAGTGTCGATCGTATTAAAAATAAAAAAATAAAAACTGTATATTTTATAAATTCTACGTTTACGTCTTTCACGATATTTTCAAAAGTTTTACGCGCTTTTACAAACTAGATTACGATATCTATATTTTATATCCCGTACTTTGAAATATAGATATAAAAAAACCCATAAAAGACTTGTTATGACGTGTTGCAAAACAAATATAAAAAAAAAAATATGTGCACATACCATCAGAACAAATTGTATGAAATATATATTATATTTCGCTGTCGATATTCGTTTAAAATACAATAATATATAATGTTATCGTGGAAAACATTATTTTAGCGATTATTTTGGTGTGGCCTATGACTTGTCACGGTCAGGATGAACTACCAACGGATTCAGCCAAAGAAAGGACACGTCGTATAGCAGTGCTGTCAAACAAAATATTGTCAATAATATTTCACTCAACCATTAGATTAAGATGATTGCTAAGTTGTTCCTAGTATAACTTGTTTTAACACACCTAGATCATGGATAGTTAAGGTAGTATATGGACTATATATATATATATAAAAAAAAAATATAATATCTAAAATGTTAAGGTTTGAATTATCTTATATCATAAGCAGCGAACATTCTAATTTATAAAGAGAAAAAACGATATTTTATTGGATCTATAAGTTTTATAAAATTTCATTATGAATAAACCCTATTTATGCTCATATATAGAGGAGACTAATCGATTTTGTCTTTTTTAATTTCAGATTTTACCTTAATTTATTGTATCTAATATTATTGAGATACATTCTTGATATGTTTTTCCGGTAAAATTACATACAGAAATACAATCCAGTTTAATCTGCTAGCAACAATAAATGTATTTTGTCGTATACAGGGTTAAAAGTTTCCGTAAAAATACTAAAATACAAATAAATGAATACTAATGAAAAAAGTTACAAACGTTGTTACCCTACCAGTTCTATCTGTGATTACGTCAATGAACAAAGTACCATCTTATATCTACTTTTACGTTCTATCTTTTCCTATCCAAAACTACATATACAATATTATTAACTAACCAATAGACTGGATTTTATTTGGACTTAAATTACTATAATACCAATATACATATAGAAAAACAATACTTTATTTCTATAAATAATAAAATAATTTAATAAAAAAAAATATCAATATTTTAGCTAGTTACCGCAAATATAACTGTTGTATTTTGAATTATAAAGAAGAGATAAGTCCTAACAATCAATAATCGTATAGTTATAATTAATCTTAAAATATAGAAATCAATTTGTTATGATATTATTTACTAGTGATAACTAATATTTATAATTTTATGATTATACATAGATATAGATTTATATATTATGTGTATAATAAAGTCTAGTATAGAATAATATGTAATTATATTTTATACAGTTATTGATAATTATAAATCAAAATAAAATATATTTATAATTTACGAAGTTGAATATTGTGAAAAATCAAAAATTATATTTACTATTACATGATTTATTACAAAATTAGAAGTATTTATATTCCAAAAAAAAATCTAAAGACTGCCAAAAAACAGATAACACGAAACAATGACGCATTTATCAATTGACTGAAAAACAAAGAAATTTCAAAGAAACTACAGAAATTAAAATAATTATTCATCAAAATTATAAAATAAATATTTTTTTTTTATCTACAATATTATTTAAGTTTTTTTTTTTTTATTCATTCGGTGCTGAAATTTCGTATAATTATAAATAAAAAAAATAAGATTGGTAATAATTCATAAGAAATATTAATTAAAATAATTAATTATGACATGTTGACATTAATTATTTGGTCAACTAATCAGCTTGGTATTTGATATTTTAATTTAGGTTATTATATATTTATCACAACAACAAAATATATTTTTATTTAACGTAAAAAATAAATTATATTCATATATTCTAAGGATTTCTTATTTTGTTAAAGCAATTACGAGGTACATAAACCGAAGACAAATAGATGCTAGCTAACGTGGTCCATTCTACAATTTTTTACGGCGCTTCTGTTTTGGGCATCCACGATGAGCAAAAAAGGTAAGACGCACAGCATTAAAGATGGCGTGTGCGTATCGCACGGTATTGGGAGATGCTGTATTGATCATAACAGGAATATCCCCAATTGACTTAATAGCTAAGGAAAGATTGCAAATCTTTGAAAATGTCCTAAGCATAAAGCAAGAAAGGAGTTGCGGAAAGAATGGCGAACAAGATGGGATTCATCCACCCATAGTAGCCGGTAGGTGGACTCACCGGCTCATACCGAAATTGGACGTTTGTTCAAACGAAGTCACGGCGAGTTGAACTATGAACTCACGCGAGCACTTAGCGGACACGACTGTTTTTCCGGCTATCTGCACTGATTCGGAAAACTAGACTCTCTGACTTGCTGGTACTGTGAAAATGAAATCGATGACGCGTACCACACCTTTTTCGTTTGAGACGCATGGTACACTGGGCTCAATAGAATCAATGCCCTACTCGGGATTGAAATAACGCGTGATAATCTGATTGCGGTCATGTTATCGAACAACAAGGCTTAGAAGATCATAAACGGCTACATTTATGAGGTGTTGTCAAAAAGGGAAGATGAAGAGAAAAGGCAGCAAAATACAATCCAGATATAAGAAGTAGTTAAGATAATATTAGTATGTAGGTATACCGAAGGCAACAAATGATAGAAGTAGGGGGTTCTCTTCTTATTATACCACATCCTTGTAAATCTAAACCATTAGATAATATTGTTGTTTTTCAACAAACGATGATGGCTGGAGGTAAAATGACAAACGCAAGTATAACCCCCCAATTCATGATTTCAAATGTAAAAAAAAAAATAGATTTGCAATTATTTTAAATGTATAACATTATATTTAAAATCATTATGATGATAGAGGTGGGTACTAGGGTGATATATTATCATCCTTCAGATCCATAATTTATTTTTATGTTTTAATAGTTTGTTCAATAAATATAACAAAATAAAATTATTTTATAGTATCCGGTTTACATTCATTGACGGTTATAAATCAAAAAAAAAAAATAATAATAATAACAATAACAAATAACAATAACAATAATTGTAATATTTGTGTTTTATAATTTTTATAAAACGTTGCGGAGTTTTTTGCAAAAATAATTTACCAAAGATTTACTATTTTATTTATTTATCAGTTTATAGTTCTATAAAAAATAAAAAACAGTTTAAAACCAATCTCGATAAAGTGCATAATATCAAAAGGAGCTTTTTTAATCATCACTCCGAAAATAATATCGTAAACATACCGTTAGGGGGTGTCGTAATCATAATATTATGTGTTTTAGAAATACTCACGCATGGTGTCTCGGATAATAATACTGGTGCCAGGTGGGTTTTAAGATTTCGGCCAACGTCACGGCGAGCAATACCTGAATAGTCACTAGAACCCGTGGCAACATAACGTCTATGTAGTAGGAATACGTTATTGACCACGAGTACGCTGTATAACAAAACAGATACTAACAGAATAAAATGATAATAATAATAATAATAATAATATTATTATTATCGTATAATGCTGTCGAAATGTTACGTTAGTGAATCGGTCATATGATCAACGCGTCGAGAGAAGATTTGATAAAAAAATCGTCGCCTGGTTTGTTATATTATATTATATTATAAATTTGAATTAAATTATATTATAAGTATATATATATGTTATTTTTTTTTTTTTACTACCGACAATGACGTATCGTGTATTAATAATAATATTATCACTGCACGAGACGATTGCATCGGACGGACGGCGTTCGCGATGTGCGGATGATGGTCTAGAAGAATCGGTTTTTTATACGGAACTGGAAAATCACTGCCCGGACGTAGGTATTCGCGAGCATGATATATACAACGGTATCATTTTTTACTTCTTCCACCTCTTCTGTCGCAAAACAGTGGTTTTCTTTTCTTTTCTTTTTTTTGTTTTACCGGCAATGGCCGTTTTTTTAGCGCGTTCATCGTCGTCGTCGTCGTGACCTTCCCACCAAGGATCCCATGATTGTCAGTCATCGGTGGAAGATCGGTAGCGCGTAATATGCTTAATGATACAACGTTACTATGATTCGCCGCGCGACAACGTATCTAATGTTGTACGTATGTGATGATGATGATAATATGCGCTCTCTCCCTCGCTCAGCCTTGATTTGTTTACCGCGTCTCGTTGACTTCGTTTTCGTGACGACGTTTGTCTATTTTCATCAGTTCATCGCCATAAAACAAACGCGAGCGCAACATAATCGTCTTCGTGAAGGTCGAACCAAATATTATTCGTCCGTCCGGTGTTAGCTGGAACCATCGGGCGTAACTATATTACACACTTTCCGCCCTCCCGCCCCTTCCACCGTAGAAAACTGCCTGATTTTTCTGCCAAATGCTGGACAACAAACAATTCTAACACATAAAATTATAACATTATAATTATTACCTGCTTTAGCTTTCGTTTTTCTCTTTTCCGCCGGCATTAACGCGCTTAACATTTCGTAGAATATTAAATATCTATGAAAAATCTATTTTAGATCTTGGGGATCACTCGCAAGCATTATCAATAATCTTCACTGCATTTTATAAGTTAACGCAGCAACGCGCGTATGGTCTATATGTAGCTTATTGTATATCATTATGTTTATTATAATTTTATTATTATCACTATTTTTTGTTTTTTTTTATTTTATTTTGTTTAGCACAGTTGCACTTTCGAAAACTGCAAAACTAAAAACATTCATTTCTATTATTGTATACCTACTAGATGGCTTGTTCAATCATACGCTAATACCGTATCCTTCATTGAACTTTAATGACGGTTGTGTGTATGTAAAATCAATATCATCGTAACTTTAATTGGCAATGACAGACATTGAACGGTACGAAACTTCGCACAATTTTATTTAACACACATTCGAATGTTTCAACCGATGTGGTATACAATATTATACTATTAAATGTTATTAATAATACATCATGTCAGTACTGTTAGTAGGAAATTTAAATTTATAAAATATTGAGTGAAAAGGTATTTAAGACCATATAATACAGTTTAGAGATCTATATTTTATATTACAGAAGCTTAATTATTAAAATTATTCAATATGAACAAACTTTTACAACACCTCGAGTAACTAGATAACTGAAGTGTTAAAATTAATATTTTGAAATGAATATGTAAATAAAAAAAATGAGAGTAAAATGTTTCAATGTGTATAAAACCTTTTTTTTTTAATTTTTAGAATTTTATTACACAATTATTTTTTATTTTTATAAAATATATAATACAAATTGATAAGGTGACAAACGTATCATTTACAGTGTAGAATTTATATAAAGTACAAATAATTCCTCAGTTAAGTAGAAACAATGGTAAATACACATACACTAAATTATTATTATTTTACATAATATTAATGACAGAAAATATATTCAAAAATTATTTAACATACCAATTTTATATTAAATTTATTCGTCAATCTGTTAAATATTACTATTTTTATACATGACCTATATCTACATTTATTTTTACTTTGTAACTCAAATTATACAATATTAAATATATTAATATATAATAGTAGGTAAATCATTGGTAAGAAAATGTAATAGAAATATCATTGATATTCAAATATTCAAAATGTGTTTGTTTCATCGTTATATTTTAATTACTAACCATGATAGTAAACATTTTCTCAGGTCAATAAACGTATAACTTCAAGTTGGCACCCAGACTCATTTCCACGTTTCTCAGAAGTTCAGACTTCAGTTCACAGGTAAACAAAACCCCGATCTGATAGTGATCGAATGCCAAAGCTATGTTATTATTCCATGTTAATATGCTACAACGTTATCTATCAGTTTTAGACTAAAGTAATATATTTAGTGTCAGTGGGTCCGCGTACAAATGATTTGGTGGAAATTCCTGTCAACGGTTTAAAATTACCACCTATAATACATTAACGTTTGGTTAGGTAGTACACAGTAATACAGTATTAAAAAATTTAATTAATTATATACGAAAATTGTTTACTGCGGGACATCAGTAAACCCGTTGATGCACTTTGATTTGCTTACTCAATTTCATACTCATAAATAAAGACACATTTTCTATAAAATATGTGTCTATCATTTTCAAACTTGGATTTATATAATTATTATAGTATATATAATAATATTCTGTTTTGTTTAGTGTTCGAATTTTGTGCTCCATCTTTTACGATAAACAATGTCATCCATTAAAGTGTCAACACTTATTACTTACAAGTGTTATTTTTTAGAAAATTTTTTATAGTTATTATTTTTTTATATTTTTAAGTTTTTATTTATTTATTTATTGAATGACAACATTTGTTATTTTAAATTCCAAAGAAGAATATTTTTCAAAGTATTTTTAATACTTGTACATAAAAATCAAACTTTAATAAGTAAAATTGTAACCAATTAGTTATAACTTCTAAATAATAAAAGTTTAAATGAGTGAAATTAAGTGAAACAAAGGTACCTCAAAAATATTGGTCCACTAACTACTCCGCCAATTCAAACTTAAAGAAACTTATAAATAACTAATTAACTAATCATTTAAAATTATTTTTTATGCATTAAAGTACTCCAACATAATATATTCTATTTGAAATATAAAATATAAAAAATATAATATGTTTTTTTTTCAAAAAAAGTAATTAAATGTCGTTTATTTGCATTTCCGTCAAATTATTTAGCTATAAACAATATTTTCAAGATATGTACCTAACTAAATCTATGTTAGCAAATAATACATCATATAATGGGTTATAAACTAATAACAACGTGTTTAAACTGATACATCAGAATCAACAATATTAGCATATAATAATTTACTTATATTCTATGCATGTATATTGTATTCAAGTAGAGTTTATTACCAGAGGGTTCCATTTTATAAATCGTTCATAAATATTCTTAATTGCTTTTCTGAAATACAAAAATAAAATTTATTATAAAATCTTTGTTGTTTGAGTTATTTAGTATCAAAATAAAATATTTTAAATTATATTTCAAGCGTTTTTTTTTTTTTTTTTGGTCGGAATCGTGAAAGGTTTTTGGAGATAACAAACTTCAATCTTTGTTCAAAGACTGATTTAATTTTTTTTTTTTTTACATAGAATTCCGTGATAAAATGAACCTTTTCGTATTATTTTTTTTATTGTTATTATTATTTTAAATATTATCATCGGCATTATTATTCTTTTGTTGAATACAATTTTCGAATTGTTTCCGATCACAATTATTATAATAATATCATTGATGAATAAACACTGAAAGTAATGATTACTATTAACTGGGGAGGATTTTTTTTTGATTTGCACACTCGTTGATTTGTTTTTTCATTATTTGAAAAAAAAAAAAATCTTTAACATTAAAATATTGTTTTATAAATGGGTAAAAATCTTAAATGTTTTGAAATACTCGTATTTCAAAATTTATTACTTTAATCTAATATATTTTTAGTTAGAAAATCATGCTAAGATATTAATGATACACAAAAGTAGAAATAAAAATCACATAAGCGACCAAATTTAAGATTATAAGAGAGTATTTTTGTATCATATTTACTAGCGAAAATATTCTGCTTCAATAACTTGAACTATAGGAACAATATTTAATTTCTAATAAAAAAAAAAAAAAAAATTAATAAGACATAAACAAATAAAAAATAAAAGTAAGATTTTTGCAAAATAAAATTAATTTAGTACTTTAAAAAGAATTGCACTATACCTATGTGTTTTATTTTGACCAATCCATAGAAATTCATAATCAATTATTCATGCATAATGACCGTAAAAATGAATAAATTTTTTTCTAAGGTCAATGCCACATAAGAAAAATCAACAACACACTTCACTGAATTTTAAGCTACTATATAATAATCAGAAAAAAATAGATTTTTTAAACGTATAGTCAATACATCTATGCATCAATTTATAAATAATGGGGCCTTTTCGGGGTTAAAGTGAATTTAAAAGTGAACAATTCGAATATATCATGTTTAAATGTTTTGTTTCATATAATGTGTTTGTTTTTTTTTTTTTTTGTATTTTAATGAACAGTATAGTTGTCCGATATTAAACAATATTGCTGGACTGAAAAAATTTAAATTAAAACGAAATACAAAATAACAAAAATATGATGTAAAAAATCTAACAATGGTTTTTAATTGAAACTTTAAAAGTGGCTTTTTAATTGGCAGTACGTCAAATATAATAAACTCGATAATAATTTCAATAGCCATAACCCCAAAAATAATTTTTAAATTATTATTTTCATAATATTTAAATTTTAAACTATAATTTTGTATAATTTCCATTCGTGTAATAAGAACCTATGTAAAAATATATCATTAATATGTGTATATTTATTTTATGCATGTGGGTAAACGTTTATTTTATAATATTCATAATTTAATAAGATATGGATTATATTTAAATTTTTCATTAAACCAACTTCAATAAAACAAAATAATACAATAATAAGTTTTCAAACCGATCAAAGGGTGTCTAATGATTATTGTAGAATGTAGATAATACTTAAGGACTTAAGTTAGCAACTTTTGTAGTCACCATTCACATTTGCACTCAAATAACTATTATTTAGAAATCATAAAACTTGATATGATTTAGTTG